TAAAAATTTCTATTAGTATTTGTACGGGGATTGCCAATAGCTTGCCATTATGGGAATTGTACTTAGTAGCTCTAGTACGGTACGTATATACTTGCTGTTCCGAATAACGAAAAACGTATAAGTACAAAAAGCTGTCACTTATTTGGAATTTAACCCATTTCCTTGTTTTACAAATGACATACTACGAGTTTCATAACAATTGCACGCCGTCTTGCCAAGAGAGCGAAAAGTAATAATTTGAAGTTCTAAACTTCAGTTTGAAGTTAAGAACTTCACGTAGAAAGCCTACCAGGTTCTACTGAGCTAGTTTTTGGATGGCATTCATGATTGATTCATGATTGAATCACCTCATGACCATTTAAAATTGCCCTGAACCATTTTTTTTTGTTTTGAGGGGAATCGTGATTCATCCATTCAGTCATTTTAAAAAATTAGCTCAGTAGAACCTGGTACATGATGTACGAGCAAAAGTTCATAACTTCAAATCGAAGTTTAGCTAGAACTTCAAATTATTACTTTTTGCTCTCTGGGCAAGACCGTGTGCAATTGTTATGAAACTCGTAGTAAACTCATTTCCTTGCATTTTGCAATTTTTTTAACTCATTTCCTTGCATTCTCTAAGTAATCAAAATTCTGCTGTTAAACAACAGGGAAAACCAATGCTACCACACCATACCACCACCAAACATTCATATATTCAAAAAAGCAACAAACAAAAGACCAAGAACCGCCATGGTTGGAGGACGCTGGGAATGCTGCCAAGGTGCCAAGGTGTGGAGGGCGCTGGTGCAGAGGTTGCTGATACGGAACGCTGATACGGGGGAACGCTGATAAGGAACGCCGATGATACGGAGAACGCTTGCTGATACGGAGAATGCTTGCTGATACAAAGACTCGCTGATACGGAGGACGCTTGCTGACATGGAGAACGCTGATATGGAACGATTTGCTGATTACACCAGTATTGGTGCGGATCCATCATGAGAGACTTGCTGATACGGAAGATGCTGATAAGAGTCACTGATATGGATGATGCTGATACGATACAGAGAACGCCAATACGCCGATGATACGGAACGCTGATAAAGACGCTGATACAAGTTGCTGATACGATACGATATGATACAGAGGGGATATAAAACACTAATGCCAATACTATCTCTCCTATTTCCATTCTTTTATTTGTTGTATTGCAAGGAGCACCATGGTCGTTGGCTCTTGTCTTGTATTTCAACACTGTATTCGGTAGTTTCCTGTTGTTCAATGTCAAACTCCTAAGTGATGCATTGGTTTTCCCTGTTGTTTCACGGCAGAATTTGATTACTTAGAGAATGCAAGGAAATGAGTTTACAAAATTGCAAAATGCAAGGAAATGAGTTTACAATTGACTAAAAACGGAAATATGCAAGGAAATGAGTTTATGTCATTTGTAAAACAAGTAAATGGGTTAATGGTCCCACTTATTCACACATGCGTGTGCTCCAGGCCCTCTGAATGGAAGAATTGAAAGTTGTTTTTGCAGTACTCAAATAATGTATGTTCCTACTATAGGTATTACTTTACAATAGGAAGTATATGTTCAGTAATCTCATCTTTTGGTCACAAGTTCTTCCTTCTTCGGGCAATTTGCAATTCAAATCAGCGTTAGAAGAAGTAAAAGTAGTAACAGAAACAAATAGAAGTACTGTACTTACATAATGAGGAGAACTACTACGTCCACATCAGAAGTATTTTCTTTTATCTTTCCATTTTTTAAGCTACTACTGCTATCATTGGTTCTCCTTCCAGTAGATTGATACGGCCCTCCCCCCTGTGATTAGCTTGACAGGACTGCTTGCTTTTGATGCAAGCAGTTTCATTATGACACAAAAGTCCTCCACATATATCTTCCAGCCTTTCGAAAACAACTAACGTCACAAAAAGTGTTTGCGACCACTAGCGACCACTCGCGACCTTTTTTTTAAAAATACGCACCCCTTTTTTTTTCTYGCGTCCACCAAACCTCCCGTATGTCATGGTTTTGGTCGCATTTAAACCTAAACGTAGTTGCGAGGGTTGCGTTGGGTTGTTATGGAAAACCAGTGCTACTTTATTGTTAATGTAAAAGCAGTAACCCTGAGTCCCACCACTGTCAGTTTCACGTTGTTGAACACAAAATTGTTCACG